AGTAATATGCCTTAAGAACTTATATATAACTTACAATATAAGCGATATTTCATCATCGTTTACATATGGTATATAACTCAATATGAATACTATATATACAACATGGATTTGTGATTCTCAGGGGTGGAAATTTTGTACCAAGCTAAACCAACCAACATGTGTATCAACCGTACAAATTAAATCAGTATCAATTGCAATCGGTTGGTGGTAAAGATGGTGATTTGCTCCGACCCGAACGAGGACGGGGATTCCCCGCTAAAACGGGTCTCGGGGATGGGGATCCCCGGTATACTCAAACCGAGGCCAGGAGACATTACTCAAACCGGGGACGGGGCTTGGGGACATTACTCAAACCAGGGTCGGGGTCGGGGTCGGGGATCCCCAGTAGAATCAAACTAATGAATATTATTCATGGGGTTTGACCAGGTTTTAAAAGGGGATTATAGATATTTGACCGGGAACGAGATGTTAATCCTCATACCTATCGGGGACCGGGGCCAGGGGGATATTACTACAAACCGGGGCCGGGGATTACAAAACCCACCCCTTTGCCATGCCTAGTTGGTGGTACCGTACCAATTATGCAAATTTGGATCATACACGATATTAGAAGTTATTTACCACGGTAGTACCATAATACCAACTTATTTAATTATTAATTAGTTGTTGCATTTTTTATTTATTGAACATTAAATTTTTTAACTTTTTTTTTTTGAACATTTAAATGTTTGCAAGTTTATTCCTTGCAATTAAAAAACCCTTAAACATCACATCACACGTGTTACCTGAAAACTTTAAATGTCACTTAAATTTTAAACATAATGACAAGTTTTCACATATGTAACTTGAGGTTGGTACAAAACCAGTACTAACTGAAAAAAGTTGATACCAAGTATAACCGGTTGGTATATAAAAAAAAGATTCTACATCCCAATTGTAATTAGTTGATACATAATATTGAAAAATAAAACTTGATGCCGTACCAAGTCCATATGTAATGATTTTGATTCATGAATATTTATTTTTCACCAAATGTAAGAATCTTAACTTTTTTTCAATATTGGGTAAATTCATTTTTTAAAACCAGAAGGATACTCATGCAATGCAACGAGAGACATCGAGATAATGTTTTGTTTTCTCTTTTCGTCTCTGTCGATATAATACGGTGATTTTGACAAAACGATAATGTTTTTATTCATAAAAATTTGAAAAATAAATAAATCGATATTAGTATCAAATTACCTATTTAAAAATTCATATTTTTATGTAATATCTTTAATTCAAAATTTTATTATAATTTAAATTAGGTTTATTAACGATGTAATTTAATTTTGGTTTAATAATATAATTTTTT